CTTCTTTCCCTCCCTTCCCGCGGGCTCAAATTGCCTTCAAGGAGCCAGAGACCATCTCGCTCGGACAGGCCCTCTACACTAAACTGGCCGCAGCAGCAGGTGTGGACAATGGATGGTACCGCTTGGCCCCAAGATGCCCCAAACTACCTGTGTCTCACCAGGTGGCGCACACCCTCTTTTCTTCCTGCCCCATCTCCCTGGCCCCTGCACGAGGCTGGGCGGCCCCCTGAGGGGCACAGGAAGGCCGGCAGGAGGGGTTTGAGCCCCCTACCCCGCCTGCTTCCATTGTAGGCCTCAGGTTTCCCCTCTTCTCACATGGGGCGCTACTCACAAGCAACTAGCCTTGCCCACTCCCACCCCCTGCGCCTCCCCAGATAGTTACGGGATCCTGTACAATTCCCCATCCTTGCACATTTCAGTGTTTTTGATTTTTACTGGAAGGATAGGAGAGTTACAGGGCTCAGATTAAAGTGACAAGCCCCCGTTTAAGAAGTAACCTTGCGTAGTGGGCTAAATTCCTGCTTGTGCATAAAGGATGTTCAAGACTGGGAAAGGCCTGAAGTTGTATTGGAATGACCTGTAACAAACCTTCAGTCAGTTTCAAGATTAGTTTCCTCTTGTGGAGTTCCTTTAAAATCATGATTTTCCCAATTCAGTATCTGAATAATTTGTTTCTAAATACATTCCACCCTTCTGGGAAAGGATATGTGGCCGTCCTTGATTTCAAGAAAATCTCAGGTGCTTTGTCTGTGAGGTGGCCCATTCTTTGTCTCACTGCTTCACTAATAAACTCTTGCCCTATTAGGTGAATTGGAGCAGATTTAACTAGTAAAAATATGCAGGGTGTCCCCCCAAAATGTATACACACTTTGAATAATTAATTCCAATGGGTTAAATTTGAAAAGAAAGAAACATCAATTGAGCTATCAGCTGTTAAAGTTTGTATACATTTTGGGGGACATCCTGTATATTGCCCCATAACATTCCCTAACTGGAAGGGAACTGGTTCTGACTTAGCTGTCCCTACCATTTGAATAGAAGCTTTACTCCAAGGGAGAGTGCTACTTAATTGGGGAGGGTTTAAGGACAGATAAAGTAGCCCCAGTATCTACAAGGGCCTTAGTAATTTCCCCTTTTACGGTGATTTCAATTTTTCCGAAAGTATCAATAAGGAGAAGGGGAGCCCTAGTTAGTTTGGCTCAGTGGATAGAGCATTGGCCTGCAGGCTGAAGGGTCCTGGGTTTGATTCCAGTCAAGGGCACATGCCCAGGTTGCAGGCTCGATCCCCAGTAGGGGGTGTGCAGGAGACAGCCGATCAGTGATTCTCTCTCATCATTGATTTTTTTTCTCTCCCTCTCCCTTTCTGAAAATAATGAAAATACATTTTTGAAAAAATAAGAAGGGGAAATAACCTCTCATAGTCCTCGGAGCAATCTTATGTTTGCTTCTGTTTATTTTTCTAAATCCCGTTTTAGTTTTCTACAACCCTACATTTTTTGTGTGTGTTTTTGTTTTTTGTTAATACCTCACCCAAGGATATTTTTCCATTGA